ACTTTACAAATAGGTTTGAGAGGAACAAAAAGCTCGATTGAGAGCCAAACCTAAATTCCCTCCAATTTCCTAGCAAAAAGATAATCATTACGTCACGCTCTAACGACTCACCAGGAAAGGCTAAATTCCCGTCAATTTTTGAATTGAACTTCTGTTAAATCGGCCGGCTGCTTACAAATTTGGACACCAAAAGCAAAAATTTTGTCGTCATGGAGAATCGAACTTCGAACCAATTTGATCGCTCACGAATTCCTTGACAGGTTTGCGTAGCATTTACTCTTCATATTTTTAACCAGCATTCCATGCTCTATCGATGCTCCTTGATCTCAGTTCAAAGTTCCATGAGAATCCTTTCCTGGTAAGTCCACCAGCTTTCATGACACTGTTGCTTGCTATGATATGCAATGACACCTAGTGGTGGAAAGTTTTGTTTTGCACAAAATCCTGCATTTAGCGATAACACCGGCACTGCGAACTGCTAGGATAGGCAGCAGCATCAAATAAAAACCAAGCAAATGCAGTCCAGCCCATCCACGCTCAATTTTTCATGAAAATTTCCACTCCGCATATACTTTTGCTTGGGTACGGTAGCAAAAGTTTCCATTAAAAAATACGCTATGGCGACAGAAACGTCGCCATGTGAGGGAAGCAAAACGAGCGGTTCTACGGGTACATTCGCCGCAAATGGAGAATACGCTATTCAGATTCCGAATGACTAATCAGATGGTTACTGAACGAAATTGAGAGCGATGTTGTTAGCAGATAGTCGGAGGTGATAGCGAGGCAGTCGTTACTCGCCTAGTGATGCGTTAGATGGCAGCCGCCGGCTGTCGGACGTATATGGATGACGATACACGAGGGAGCGCTCTTCGAAGTGCTCGTCTTCGCTCTCTGGCTCTGCGGCAGCAGCAGGAACAATCAACCACTTCGCACTCTTTTTCTCCAAGACATCACCACGCTTCCACTTCGTACAGCTCTTACAGCACTAAATGATCCCCTTGTAAATCGTAGCCCGTCGTACTCAAATTGCCACACCATTTATGGGCGCTCACGACGTAGCAATTAGTAATTAGCGCTCGCAAGCTGCTTGTTAAGGGTACAATCGACACGCCACGCAAGAAAAGCGTGACACATTGTGAGCACTAGAGCATACAGAATTCACTAATATCACACACGCGCGTAGTACACTTCGATCGGAGCGCTCAACACCACATTGAAGCATATTTAATCTTGGGACTTCGACTGGAAGAAGAGCATGTGCGCGGCGACGGCACGGATTAGGCCCGCAAAGGAGCGCTAATCTCGTATTCCAGCACTGCTCTCTCTGTTGCCGACGCTTTCAGCTGTGCAAGCACCACGACACAGACTCCTCACGCTCGAATGATCAATGACCACACAAAAAGGTAATTATCATACGATGCCAGCACACCTAGCGACGCGGTGAATAGCGGCGGAGGTCGCGTACGCCCCGTCGCCGCCCTAAAGCAAACACACCGCTAGACTCACCGAGGTGTAACTCCGCGCACATGCATACATATACACACATCCATATGCGCATATGTACGAATAAGCATGTATACACATACCATAATGGCCATGAAGTAATTTCATCACGGAGCACCCGCGGTTGTGCTCTGCAAAGCACTGACGTGTTAAAAACGTCCATACGCAGCAGAATGCCTCATTCATTTGCAAAAGTCACGTCGTACTACTCAAGGTACTCGACAGGCTTTTTGCGTTTACTCGTCACAATTGTACTACTGCTTAGCAGCTGATTAATTTCATCATGTACGAAGGAAGGATTAACTGTCAGAGAAGGAAACCTTAGAAGCGAACGCCATCGAACATTCATTTCTAAACAATAGTCCGCCGCAACCCAAATAGAACAAAGGAATCGAAAAGAGCCTACAGTAGCCACCAAAGGTGTTGGCCAAAACTACTTTCGTCCCTTTTCTTCCCTTAACTAATTCACTTCAAATGTTGAAACTTTATACAGTGGGGACCAAAAGCTTCACCAAGACAGTTTTTTGTGATTATCACTTTTTATCAAAAAT